CTTAATCAGTTGAGCTAAAGTGAAGTTGACGAGTCATGAGACGTTATTAGAAGCAAATACAAAAGTATTCCGCCTCTCGATGCATAGATGTAACTATTGGAGTTTTTTTGGTGTTTATGTAGCATTCTCAATTATTTTCAATTACTTGTGAAAAAACATAGATCATATAATTTAGTGATAGACTCACTAATATCTATAAATGGTTTAGAACTTGAATTTGAGAGAATATAGAAAGAAAAAAAAAATCTTTTGAATGATTTTATCTAAAGGAAAGAACGTTTAATTTTTTTGCGCCAAATCTTACGAGTGATTGTATAAAAAATCTTTTGTCTCAATTTTATGCATTTTCTTTATTATTTCACTCATTGTAGTCTTAATATTTACAATAAAACCAGTAGAGCCAACAAGAAAATATTTAACACAACTAAATTAATAGTGCTTTCCTACCAAGAAAAAAGAAAAAAGAAAAAAAGAAAAAATTAAATTACTATATACATTTTTTATATGATTTTTTTTTTGACTTAAGCTTTATTAAAAGACTGTTAAACTGCCTAAAGATTTAATACATTTGAGAATTAGCTTCCATGAAGAAGTCAAATAGGATACTTAATGGTCCGTTTGGTAACGTTTCTTGTTTCTATTTTTTTATTAGAAAAATGAATTGTATGACTCTAACATCCATAAATTCAAATATGATAAAACTATTTTTTCATTTATGTTTTGGAACAAGTTGGAAATGAGAACAAGAAAAGAAGAAACATATTTTGGTTGTTTCCAAAATTTATATTCAATAATTGTGTGAGAATGTTCTCGCAAAAGAAGAAACAAGAAAGAAAATTAGTTGCAAAATGCTTAAATTTTTTAAGAAAATTGGAAACAAGAAACAAGAAACGCGAACGTTACCAAGCGAACCCTAAACATCTAAAGAAAATGTCTTTCCATCATAAAAGACTCTCGAGCAAGACAATGGTAGCCCCATTAGACTCTCTACAAACATGCAGAAAGGAAAATTTATTGAAGGAACTAGCTAAGGATATGATGTCTCAGATTCAGGTTGCAGCTTCACTCTACTAATTCATATCACCATTCATCAAATTAATGGCATCCATGGAGTTAGATTCAACCAAAACTTTCCTCACCCGAACCTCGACGCTAGCTGAATCCCCTCCCAAATCGCTAAGATTTCTGTAGTAAATAGACTCACTGCATCATGAAAATCCACCATCACCGCTCGAGTTTCACTTTTATCATTACGATATATTCTATCAATATTTTTATCGTCAACTTTTACTCTGCCAATTTATCTCACTCTTTGTTTCTTGCTCCTCTACTAGGGGAATGTATGATATACTATAACGTCTGAGTAGAAAGGAGGGACACATGAATGAACCGGTCCGAATGAGAGAGATCTTGAGATTATGGGAAAATGTCAAGAAATGGCTTAAAAGAATTGATAGTCATTACTAACAAGTTGCACCTTACTTTTTGGTGACTCAATCGTAAGAATTTCAAAGTTCTTGACTCAGAGCAGTCTTCAACTGGGTGAAGTATGGTGGCACGATCGGGTCGCAGGGAAATGAGGGACGATTAGGGCCAAATTCGGTTCCGAATCCTAGGCCTGGGGCCTTACATATATTCTATCAACATTTAAATCCCGGATATATTTACAAATTTTTTGTTTTTTTTAAAGATTTAGTTCATTTAAACTTTGAAAATACCAACCCAAATCAATTAAGTTTGACTAGGGCAAGATTTGGCAAGAGAGAATCAAAGAACTCTCACATTGTGATCACACATCTACAAAAATTGATTTGAAAAAAGTTGGTAAGTTTTCCACTTTGCCTGGACTTCACTAAAAATGAACAAACAAACAGATACTTAACGTTTTTGGCAATATGTGGAAGTCGAAAAAAAGCCAATTGTGTGAAATGTGAATCCACACTCTTTCTTCAGATTTGAACACAAAAAAACGAACTCCATGCTTATCTTCTGCCAATTCATCACTATGTGTGTGTAAAATATTCCATGTCCCCACTTGCCAATTCTAGTCTCTACAAACTCCTCCAAGAAACCCTAGACTTTTGGTAACCTCACTCCCCCACCTTTTGGCACAAAACGAGTCAAATAATGTGTAAAACCACACATATTTTGCCCTTTTCCCGCGTGTTTTCAATCTTACCGACGTTTCTATACCATGCTCGTCAACAGGCCATACTCCGAGAAAGTTTTAGACATCACAGAAAGAAAATATATATACAGGGTTTCTAATTATAAAACAGTTGGGAAAGTGAGTTTTGTTTATGTCATTGATAATATTATGGTATTGTCTATTTTAATTTCCTTACAAACCAACATGAGTCATTTTAACATGTTTTGTGCTCACCCACATGTTTTTCAGTAAATCAACTAGAAAGTCACCAAAGTGAAGATTGCTCCAAGCCATGTTTAAGTTTGGAGTTCTTATGATTGAACCATCGAAAAGGAAGGTGCACCTTGTTAAGTACACGTAGTAACTATCAATTCTTTTAAGTATTTCTTAACATATTTTCATGATCACAGGATCCATCTCATTCATCCATGTATCCCTCCTGTGTACTCGAGATCAAATCATTACTTATTTATCTAATCAGTGTGTCAGATGAATATTTAAGCAATGACGTTAAACACACGTCGGTATTCCATAAATCCCCGTACAGAAATGAACTTGAATTAGGCAAACAGGTGGCAGGGGATGTGAGAGTTATAATTGCAGCTCTAGATCCATAAATATTTTACTTTTTTTGGTGCAGAAGTCCAAAACCACCCCAAAAAGCACTTTTAAAAGATGAGCCTTTAGGATTCAATATCTCAATGTCAATCTTTCAATTCAAAAACATGTGGGGATCATCCACTGCTGCTTCCAACGAAGCTTCATTTTCTTTGCTTGTTGCACACTAACTTGTTCTTCACAAAACCAATTTGATCATTTTTTCTTTCCTTTCTCAACCTTTTCCCTTTTTTTTTTTCTTTTTTTTTTCTTTCATTTTCATCCCTAAACTTGGACTATTTCAACTTGGTCTCCTAATCCTTTCTTATTTACTTGGATATTGGAAAAAATTTGTGGTCACTACCTACTTTCACACCCTGGATCGGAGCATTTGGTTCACAAGTTCGACTTTTGTTACCTACCCTTTTTTTTGTACTATAATGTCGTTCATTAAGGGAAAAACAAAGTAACAGGGGCTACATTTGAAGGGATTTTCTCCCTCGGTGATATCGTGAAGCCAAAATGGGAAATTAAAGGACCACGATGACGTGGTGTTAAGAGGAATACCATGTTTTATGGGTCAGTGAACATGTCTATTACACTAACGAGGGAGATGAGTAAAAGAAATACAAGCTTATAATCGTGTACTTTGAATCAAATTTTTTTATTTACAAATTATAAGCTCATTGACCAAATAGAAGCGCAGAGAATCAAGTTTCGTTTTTTATGTTTTCATATATATAGTCCGATACAAGTTATATGAGTAACATATATGGACCAACTTGGGTATAGTTCAACTAGTTAAGACATCTATCTCCGAAAAGAAGGTCATGAGTTCGAATAAAAAAAAAGTATGATTTAGTATGAATAACACACTCTAATTAAGCCCATATAATTAAATTTCTCCTACTTCTAATTATATAATAAGATCCCCATAACCATGTTTCTTCCCAATTTAAAAATTTCCAATACTTTCAGTCAAGTTGTTGACAATCAGATTTAATTTATCCCTTTAAACAAAAATCTTAATTAAGAACGTTAACAACGGGCAATAGATTAATTTTAACTAATATTTTGCATTAATTAATTACAGCAATAAAAAACCTCAAGACCCAAATTTAAAAATCAAAGTCCAAGTTCATAGACCAAAGCAAAATTAAACTGAAAAAAAATCCCAACCCCAAATAAAACTATACCCAATAAGAAGAAAATTTGTGGAAGGAAAATACCAAATAAAAAAAAATTATGATTATAGAAAGAAAAATAAAATTGTACTAACTCTTTAATTTTTCCTTCTACTTTTTATTAATGAAAAAAAGAAACATAAATGCTTTATACCCATTCCCTTGTTTCTTCTTCTCTTAATTTTAAGTTAAAAATAAAAAATTTACATGAAAATTAATTTTTTAAAATATAATATTAATGAGTTATGCGCTAATATATTTAAAATTTTTACAATTATAAATCATTTATAAGTATTAAAAAGAGAGAAAATGATATATATTTTTTATTTATGTCTTCTCAAGAACTTCTGCAAACTAGATTTTATTGTTTCTAAAATTTGTATACAACGATGAGAACGTTTCTTATAAACTAGATACAATAAAAAGAGAAAGCGACCAAATAAAAGAAAAATTCTAAACACTGTTGTGACATCTACTTGTTTCACTCACACTATAAATTTTCTTTCATAGTTTTTAAAACTTTTTTGTATTACAGTTAGTGGAATAGAGGATTCGAATTCATGATCTTTTGGTCAGAGACAAGTAGTTCATGTTAGACCACAATTTTTTAAACTCGTTGAACTTCTCACTGATTCTTAAATAAGGTTGACGTAGCTGCACTCATAACAATATTTTATTCACATAACGAAAATATTTAGCTCCTCCCACGTGAAAGCCCACCTTAGAAAAATAATGAAGTGTCAAAGATTTAATCTCACTATATACCGAGGAGACAATTATTTTGCTTCATATTTCAGAGAATTACCCACTACTAAATAGTTTCTCAAAGACAGGAAGAGAAACAAAAACGGAACCGGAATTAATTTCTTTCACACGGTGGGGCGTCGGGTCGGCTGTGTGTTGCTTGCTGTTCCTGCTTGAACCACAACCCTTCACGCAAGCCATTACGCTTGCTGACCAAAACTCCCTTTTTAACTCTCTGTTCTTTTTTATTTTTTTTTATTTTTAAATTTCAGTTTCCTTTTTCCAATTCTGAGCATAAAAAGAGAGAGAAGAGAGATCTCAGTATATCTCTTTTTTTCCATGCTTTGAACTTTGAAAAACTGAATTTTCTTCGCGTTTGATTTGTTTATTATTATTTATTATTATTATTTTTAAGAATTCGATTCTTATTGTTCCACCTCACTTCTATAAATTCACTCCATTCTTGCTCTTCTTCTCGTATGTTAAAAACTCCCAAAAGAGAGACTCAAAAACTTTCAGCACAAATGGGTTTTGAGAGCAACCAAGGAAACCAGTTTCTTCTCTCCAAGATTGCCACCAACGACGGCCACGGTGAGGACTCGCCGTATTTCGACGGGTGGAAAGCGTACGATAACGACCCGTTCCACCCGGACAAAAATCCCTCCGGTGTTATTCAGATGGGTTTAGCTGAAAACCAGGTTTCTTGTTTTTGGCTTCACTTTTCAGACAGCTTTTCTGTTATGATACTACATGTTTGAAAGTTTTGGCCTAACTTGGCTTTTTGGATTCTGGCAGCTTTCTTCAGACTTGATCGTCGATTGGATTAGGAGAAACCCGAAAGCCTCACTCTGCACCGAGGAAGGGCTCGGGAGCTTTAAGGACATTGCAAACTTTCAAGACTATCATGGCTTGCCTGAGTTTAGAGAGGTACGATACAGAATCTATGGTTTGTTTCTGATACAACTCAAAAGTTTAAGTTTATAGATTCCGATAAATTTAAACCTTTTTGTTTCATTTTCAGGGAATTGCGAATTTCATGGGAAAGGCGAGGGGTGGGAGAGTGAGATTCGACCCGAGTCGGATCGTGATGGGTGGTGGAGCCACAGGGGCTAGCGAAATGATCATCTTCTGTTTGGCCGATCCCGGCGACGCCTTTCTCGTCCCGTCGCCGTATTATCCAGCGTTAGTTCTTCCTTCTTCCTCCCCATCTCTACATAAAATTTTCTTTTTCACCCTTGTAATAATTTGGCTGGCTTATGGTATTAAGGGAAAAAAAAAAAGAAAACTCTCATTCCTTTTCCATGGAGAGAGAGAGAGAAATAGAGAGGTGGCTTAATTTAAAATTCCAAATCTTTTTGAAGTCAATATTCCTATGTCCAACCTGGAAATTAAGAGAGAGATTTCCCATTTGACCCTTTTAAAAGTCTAGAATTCTCTTTGGAAATTTTGAAGTTTTTATAGGGTCAAAACTTCAACCACCCCTCCCAAGAAGAAAAAAAGTCATACTTAAAATGATGAATGAATTATACTTGAATTAGACACCAATTAAGTCAACCTTATTATAATGGTAATTATCAAATATGCTTTGTTTGGACAAAGAAAAAAAAGGAATATTTCTTAATCATTTTCTCAAAATTAGTGAAACCCTTTTGACTTTGATCAAAACCCAGTTAATTAAAATAAAATTTATCCCCTTTTAACCTATTAATATAATCCCAAGATACTCCACTTTACCTGGTCGGGATGAATCTCCATTAATTATCCAATAGTACCTCAAATAATTTCTTAAACTCTATAAATTTGACCTCTTTCTCTTTCTTGGAATGTAAATATAAATCCTACATCTTGATTGAAACGAAACAATAAAGCCAATCAGACATATTTGAGACAGAAATGATAATAATATCATATTACTATAGAGATCTGTAGAGATCATCTTTGTCCTAACGATTGTACGATGTTTTGCAGGTTCGATAGAGACCTTGGATGGAGGACTCGGGCGCAGATAATCCCAGTCCATTGCAACAGCTCCAACAACTTCCAAATCACAATACCAGCCTTAGAGGCAGCCTACAAAAAGGCCCGAGAATCCAACATTAAAATAAAGGGTGTTATAATCACCAATCCTTCAAATCCTTTGGGCACAACATACGACCACGACACTCTCAAAAACCTCGTAACCTTTGTGAATGACAACAATATTCACTTAATATGTGACGAAATTTACTCTGCCACTGTCTTCAAATCCCCAAGCTTCACCAGCATAGCTGAGATTGTTCAAGAAATGGAGCACTGCAAGAAGGAGCTGATTCATATTCTTTACAGCTTGTCCAAGGACATGGGGCTCCCTGGTTTTAGAGTTGGCATTCTTTATTCTTACAACGACGCCGTCGTGAACAACAGTCGGAAGATGTCGAGCTTCGGGCTGGTCTCGTCGCAGACGCAGCATTTGCTGGCTGCCATGCTCTCCGATGAGGAGTTTGTGGAGAACTTTCTGGTCGAGAACTCGAAACGACTGGCAGAAAGGCACTCGAGGTTTGTTAAACTACCCTGAACTCAAAATCTTAACCTCCGATTTGGCCTTTTTTTTTAATCTTTTCAAAAAAGAGAAAAACAGAACTAGTTCCTAAATTTTTTGTATACAATTTCCACAACGATCTTTCTTTAAAATGAAAAACAAGAAACACAAAACGGACTATACCAAAATGAAAAACAAGAAACACAAAACGGACTATACCAAATAAGTATGTCAAATTCAAACATGTGGGTGCAAAATACTATCGTGATCTATTGTTGTGCAGCAATAGAAGCCTGTTCATGCTGCTTTTGCGGCGCTTTTTCACCTTCTCGTCTTTCAAACACTAGAAACGAAAAACAGAAACATTATCAAACGACCACTTAAACTTATTGGGAATGTATTTATGGATCTTCAGGTTCACAAGAGAGCTAGAGAAAATGGGGATCACTTGCTTGAACAGCAATGCAGGGCTTTTTGTGTGGATGGATCTACGACAGCTACTGAAAGAACAGAGCTTTGAAGCAGAAATGGAGCTATGGCGAGTGATTATCAATGAAGTGAAGCTCAATGTCTCTCCTGGCTCTTCCTTCCATGTCACTGAACCAGGTTGGTTCAGAGTTTGCTTTGCCAATATGGATGACAACACAGTCAATGTTGCACTCAATAGAATCCAATGCTTTGTTGGAAAGAACAACAAAAAGGAAGACGACGTGGCGGTCACGGTGGCGGTGGTGGCACCGACCAAACCGAAGCGGCGAGAGAGTAAGCTGCGGCTGAGCTTCTCCTTCTCGGGGCGGAGATATGAAGATGGCGGGGTACTTAACTCGCCGCACATGATGTCGCCTCACTCACCGCTGGTGAGAGGCTGATTTTTTATATGACTTTTGAAATAGTAAAAAGTGTTTTTAACCATTAAAAACCATTTTTTGAAATTTTTTATTTCAAAAACAAGCATTTGATTAATGTTTGTGGTAAAAATTCTTTAATACGGAAAAACACTTTTTTTTTTTAAGTCATCCTACTGTGGATATGGATGATATATAGTGTATTTTTTTTCCCACTGTGGATATGGTGTAAGCTTTATTTTTTTTTGTGGGAAGATATATAATATATAGTTTGTAATTGGGTGTTATTTGGGGAATATAAATATTGGGTGTTTGTAGGAAGTTGATTGATAAGGGCTTTGTTGTACTTTTGTAGATTTTTCCCTTTGGACACATCTAACTCTAAGGGAAAACTTGTAATAATGTAATTGGAGTTACATTTTTATATAGTTATTACTATTAATACAATTGTTGTCTTTGATGTATATTGTAATTGCATCTACATATACTATTCTTTAGGTTTTCTTTTCAGAGAAAAAAAAAATCAATCTTTTTTAAAAAGAAAAGAATCCATTTTTATCCCCGAAACATTAGTAAGAACGAATCAAGCTTTGCCTTAAACTTTCATTTCATCGAATTGAACTTTAGACTTAGGATACATGTTGCGATTTTTACTTTCAATTGATCTTTCTTTGCACACCCGGCCCACTGATTACAAACGAACACAAAATGAAAAAGCAAAGGTAAAAAATATCTCATAAATTCTACCAATTATTTAAAAAAAAAAACATAGCAAATCATTAATACACAACATCGTGCCAACAAGCATTATACACTCCTTGTCTGAAGGTCAGAGGTTCAGTCCCCTATCCTCACATTTGTTGTCCTAAAAAAACAAAAAATGCACAAGGTCAAGCCTTAGCATTTAAATGCATGTTAGAATAATTTTTCTTTAATAATTCGATAAATGAACAAAAGCTCGGTAAAAGTTGTAACATTTATTTGATTCTAATGTCAAATTCGATAAAATTGAAAGTCTTAGGATAAAATTTGGCTCATGTGGTGAATCCAAGATTAGAAATTGATTTTCTCCCCTATTCTTTTTCGAAATATTATATTAAAGATGCAATTTGAACCTATACTCATAAAGGGTGTAGGATTGTACACATTTTTTTTATTATATTAAAAAATTGAAAGAAAACTATGAGATATTCCAACGGAGAATTGAACGACTAACTATAGTCAAAAGGCAATTTATTTAGATATTAAGACTAAATTAAAATATGAGATATATATATAGAAACTTTATTGACTTTAAATAATTCAAAAAGGAGTATGGAATATATGTTCAAGATTATTACGTTTGTTGGGTTGGTCATTTCATTGACATATCCATATCTTATGTCTCCATCGGCATACTTTTTTGTCCCTAAGCAATAGTTTTATTTTAACTATTTTGGGAAGAGAAAAAAAATCGCTTTTTAGTCTAAAAATATTTCAATTTTACCCGGACCATACTAAGAATTCTCAAATTTGTTAAAATGGACTATTTTTAAAAGTACAGGACAAAAACTAACATTTCAAAAGTACGAGGTATATATTAAAATGATTAAAGTTGAAAGTAGATGTACCAAAATGAATAATTTGAAAGTACGTGGAAAAAATAAAGTGAAAGCTGAAAGATATATGGACCAAAATAGCATGTTATCTTGACAAAAAATTAATATAATAGTAAGTTACGTGGTCATCATGATAGATGTAAATGAGTGATATACGAGGATAATAATGGAATTAAGCAAAAATAAAAGACTACATCCATAGCAAATTCATGTACATTGATGAAACAAATGAAAATTAAGTTAAAATTTAAAGATCAAAATGACATTTCACAAGGAAAATATTGACAAAAATGAGGTTTGCCAAAACAAGAAATATTACGAGAAGAGAGAGATTGAAAAAATAAGGCTGTAAAAGGTACATGGTGCAAGTTCATCCCTCTTTACCAGTTTAAATGAAAGGGAAGGGTGATCGAAGGGATCCAGACGTCAAGGTCTCTACTCTACAACGAGAGTTTGATTTCATCTGAATAAGTGAGTTTGAGCAACAATAGAAAGTACCTATATGCCTAAACTTATGATAGAAGAACTAGGCTAAAGGGATAGGAGTAAGACACCAAATATATTGCATCGTCAACCTCTGTTATGTTGGGAAATTAGATGTTTCAAGACAATTTCTCCTTCCACAGTTATATCCAGTCAATCACAATCACATAACACAAATAAGAAGTTAAAGGGAAAAGCAGAAAACCAACACAAAAATTTATACTAGTTCACCCCAATAACTTATGGGCTACGTCCAGTCTTCCGCTTAGAGACGGGTTCCACTAATAAATCAAGATTGGATACAAAGCACTCAATTATCTTCCCAGATAATTCACTCTCTAGAGATTCTAACAAACCCTCGTAGCTTCTAAGTATTTAAAACAATATACTTAGCTACAGAAATGAAAAAACACTCACTAAACCCACGAGATATAGACTCCTTTTCACACACTGTCCACAACCACTCAAGTCTCTTTTATTTGGATTCTCTACAAATAAAACCTTAACAAGAGGGCCCTATTTGTTGGGATAATGAACAGTAAACCCATGTCCTATGAAGAAAATGATTTTCAACACCACTACAAATTCCTATAAGGAGTAGGATATTATTGTCTTATAAGGACTACAATATTATTTTCTTGTAAGAATTAGGATCTAATTGGTCATGAACATTGTAAGGATATTTAGTCTCTTATAAATAGAGCCCTTATGTTAAGGTTTCATTTATACATAATCCAAATAAAAGAGACTTTGAGTGGTTGTGGGCAGTGTGTAAAAAGAGGTCTGTATCCTGTGGGTTTAGTGAGTGTTTTTCATTCCCGTATATAAGTATAATGTGTTATAATACTTAGAAGCTAGAGGGTTTTTGTTGTGACATCTAGAGGGTGAATATATGTGGAGATATTTGAGTATTTTGTATCCAATATCTTATTATAGTAGAACCCGTATCTGAGCGGAAGATTGGACGTAGTCCATAAACTGTTGAGGTAAACTAGCATAAATATGTTGTGTCGTTTATTGTTTTCCTTATTTTTCTCTTGTACTATTGTGTGATTCACTTAGGTAACTGGATAAAACTGTGGAAGAGAAAATTGTTTGGAGCGCATTAATTTCCCAACACTAATTATAAAAAGCCAAATATTATAATATTTATAGGAAAAAACAATATTATAATTCTTATAAGAAAACATTATCCTACTCCTTGTAGTAATTTATAGTAAAAATCTTTTTCTTCCTGGGCATGGATTTCCTGTTTTGACTTCATTATTTTAACATATCAATCATCAGTAATCTTAAGGTATAGTATTCTCAAGGTAACTTATACACCGATCTACTTGTTACTAAGGTAATTTATGCACCGATCTACTTGTTACCACTAAACATAGAAGCCAAAAGCGGGAGGAGAGACTTGAAACCCGCAACCTCAATTTCGACAAGTTTGTACACTCTATATGTCGTTAAGCTATTCCCGCCAGCCACAACAGTGTGCTTAGTAATTCACGTATCACGTCGAGACGAATGAATCATGTTTTGCCGCGGGACCCGCGCTCCCACACATGTACAAAAGTGGTGGTAGGATAGTGTACAAAGCTAGCCAGCTACGTACAATAAACTCAACCTATTATTTTGTCAATACAAATCTTTCCATTGTGATAGTGTTTGGTATATGCAGAGATTGCGTATTTGAAAGGCACTGCCAATTGTCGCCAAACTTTGATGGATGATCATATTGGCTTCGTCGTCGGCAATAGCACTGAATCAGGTTCCGACGTGTCGTTTTCAGTCGGGCATTTCAACAAACACCTGTGCCCCACAAAATAATCTGGGAAAAACTTTTTTTCTTTTTTTCTTTCCTTTGATGTTGCATTCAGTTTAGCTTGTAGGAATTCAAAAGAGATTTTGCATTCTCGATCGGTGTAAGCAAACAAACAGAAGGAAATGAGGTGTAAGGCCTCAAATGACAAATGCGTTGTAGCACTTAAAACATGTGGATCTTTGGGGCGGTTCGAGATAATACGAGGATATGAAACATTTTAATAAATTTATTGTGAAGTAAAATATAAAAAATAACTTTTTTTAAGGTATGCAATTAAATTGGAGAGTTTATGGGCTAGTTAATAAAAATTGAAGGTATTAATTTTGATAATCTAACTTCATTAAAATTCTTTTTCAATGGGTAAATATTTATAACTCAGTTTAAATATTTTTTTAGACATAATTGACATAAAAAACACGATTATATTATATCAATTTTTGTGGAAAGTTCTTTACTTCTACAATAGAATAAGTATAAAATAACTTAGAAATTAAAAGAAAATAACAAAGATAAAGAAATGCAAAAATTTAGGTAGAAAATTCTAGATCAGGGAAAAAGTTACCGCCCAATATAGTCGAAATTGCTTACCATAAGTGTACGGGTCAAGTTTTAATAAAGTGGTAAGTCAATAATAATAACGTTCTCTGAATTGGGTTTCTAGATCAATCAAGTACCACAGATAAAATTGCTCAATTTTATTTAGAGAATCAAAATCAAATGGGAGAATATAATCAAAGCAAATAAACGTGCAATAATAAAGATAAAAACAATGGGGAGAAATGTCCTAGAGAATTTATTTCACCAAGTCTTAAGAAATTTATTTCACCTATTGAATCTATAAACCAATTACTTAATTACCTAAAATAATGAATTATTAATTCTATAGGTTAAGAATAACTCTCAAATCTCAACTGCCTCCCCCAAACGCAAGCTAATTCTCCTTACCAATTAAGAAATCAATATCCCTATCTAGTTTCTATAATAACTAAAGACTTTATTGAGCAAGTCTTCTAACGATCTCTAAAGGATTTCTAAATCTCCTGATCTTAAAACCCCTTTAGTTATGCATCCCAATTCGAACTCTAAACCACCTCTCCCGAGCGTAAGATTTCAGGTCTAAAATCAATCAATCTATGGCTAGAAGATTAAAGACGACATTAAACATAGAGAAATATAACTGGAACATTCATAAACATTCAATGAAGAGAACTAAACAATCAATTCATAAAACTCAATGGCTACATCAATCCCTAAGACAAGAGGTTTAATTACTCGTATTCAATGAAAAATAATAAAATCTCAATGAGAGTTCCATAACAAAACTAGAAAAATCAAGGAAAAGGAGAAGAAATTAGTTTGGCATGTCAATCGTTCATTCCCGAAGCGGCCTCCACGATCCTGAACCTTGAAAATCCCTTTTCTAAGCTCTCGAATGGTTTTCTTGCCCTCCAAATTGACCAAAAGTCCAAACTACAAAAAAAAAACTCTCTCAAACTCCTAGATCTCGGTAGTTGCACAACCCTATTTTTATAAAAAGTTGTTGCGGTAGTGCCATGACGCTATACAC